TCATTTGTATACCTGAGGGAAAATCATATTCATCAACTAGTGGGCATGTTCCAAACTGGTCACTATTCAGCGAGTCTGGCGGGCCAAACCATGCATCTGGTAAACACGTTGTCGGTTCGGTTCTTAGAGTCTCTACTCAAATTGCCGCTCAAATTCGTGGCCAAACCGAGTATCACCTATGCTTTTATCATAATCCCATTCTTGATGAATGATCACATTTTTGATGTAAGTGCGAGGGTAACTCATTCCTTGGTTTTTTCTTCTATTCTTTCTGAACACATGCCTAATATTGACAGAATCTATTTATGTCGATCAGTGAGAAGCTCTGTTTTATACATTAAATACGTCATAAGTGTGTGTTTTATATGACCAAAATAGCTTAAATACAAGTTAAGTCTTATTTTGTGACCCCTCACTTCGCCAAGGCGTACAGGCACCTGAATTACTCTTCTCAAGGAGGCCATCATCTACAGCTCTGCCAAACGATGAATATAACATGTATCTGTTCAAAAAAACGACCCAATAGTGTAACTGCAAGTTATTCTCGCTTTCATCGCCAGGGCTTCACAAACCCCTCTCAGGACGTGTCATCCAAGCCTAAGAAGCGTTAAGCATTTTAGCTCAACTGGCGTATGCTTCCAATAGTACTAAATCCTCTTCGCCAAATTGTGAAAACGACATAAAGCTAACCACATACGTCGAATGGAGGCTGTGGATCATACCGTCTTGATCATTGAGTTATTATCTCAGAATGTACAGGCGTGAATGTACATGCGTACAAACACATTCACAATTATGTAGGAAAATGAGTGGACTTCGTTATTTACAACTAGTTTCGATTTGTGCTATAATGACAATGCATTCGTTGAACTTGCCATAGACATGGACAATTCGCGAAGGTGGAGGATGGGGGGGAATCTATATGTTATGCTGCCTATCGTCTTACGCTTTGGTGGGCCTGGTATCTGTGGTGGAAAAGAAGTCCATTTCTGTATTAAAGCCTTGAGCGCAGTGCTGACCAATGATGCTGATGAAAGGTCCCATTGCGACTAGCCTACAAGATGAAGTCTTATGCAAATGCAGAATGACCAATGACCTGAAACATGGTATATGATGAAGTGAGCTTCACTTCTGTCAGGACAACGTTTGCTGTGAGTCCTGTCGCTAAACCGATTTTTCCCGATTTTATCAATCCAGACCCGGGAAAGTACCCCAACCGGGCAGTGGCTTCTGCTGAGATCGCCTACACTCCGAAAGGTCGTAAGAGTTGACGATCTGTAATACATTTTGCTTGGTCAGCAGGACTCATGGGTCCTGTATTCCAAGATGAGTCCTTTAATGTGTACAAGGGTAGTATGATTATAAGATTTTCTTGCGTTGATATAAATCTGTGTCGTGCCGATAAGGCGACGTCGGAACTGAGGCACTGGATGAGGATGACTCGTTGGAATGTATGTCAAAATAAGACTTAATAAAAAGTCAAGCCTTCGATCCACTCCATTATAGTTACATAAGAAACTGGCAACACTTTACAACCTCCAGATTTATAGAAGTTTCTACGAATGGCAAAACTCACTGACGATGCCGACTAT